AGCTGTCCTTCTGAATAGGCGTGCTTTGCGGTTAGGTCGTACGCGGAATGCCTCCACACCTTTGGTCGCCAGAGCCGCAGAGAAAATACCGCTTTTTCACTCTGATCACTGGCTAGTTGTCTTGCTAACTGCGCTTGTGCTCATGAGTCGTCCTGCTTTTCTTGAATACATTTCTTGAAAATAAGCAAAATTGCGACCAATCTCTCTAGGTAAGATGCATTTAGTGCTGGTTGAATTCATCAACGGTGCCATTGCTCATTGCAGTAGATCGTCGGTCTAGTTCTTCACCGTAATCCTAATTTTGCCTTTGTGGTTTCTATTTCCGTTTTAGGACGTATACTAACACTTCTTTTCGTTTTTTTTTCTAGTTGGGTGGGTTTAGTAATGGATGGAGCGAAGAAATGCTTGTGAGCCAGGGAATGCACAAAGGCCACAGAGTGTTGATTGTTAGCAAGTACGAAGAATTGTGCAGTGAGACTGTGTGACTGTCGGCAGCGGTTTGCTGAAGATATTCTCGATATTCTTCCGTTTCCACTAGAGAATCTCTTAGTAACTACAGGTTCATAACTGAACACCGCTTTCCGTAGTAACTAGTGGGACTTGACTTGATGTTAGCAACCACTGACAACATTTCATGAATATCTCTCTAGTGACAGCTAGTTGCTGTTTTCTAACAATATTACTAAAGACGAATTTCAGGCGGAAAACACCATTCGATGGAGGTTCGCCCAGGATGCAGATGGTAATGTTATAAAAGAAAGTAATACGCGAATTGTGAGATGGAGCGACGGGACGTACGTAGCTGTAGTTTGTTTTAATGACTCACCGGATCTTCTTCGAAAAATTTTTAATTTTCAGCATGTCCATGGTTATTGGTAAAGAAGTGTTTGATGTTGAATCAGTACCCATACATGGCAACATGCAACATTTGTTCGTGCGGCAGGGAGCTGGCCTTGTTGCACAAAAGATTTTTGATAGAAAACTCATTTTCCGACCGCACTCCACTGATAGTGATACGCACAGAAAGGTGGGGACTCCGCATTTCATTGTTCAGGTCCTTTTAGTGGCGTGAGGTACAGCTATACGCTACCACTGTTCGACCGCTAACTTGTTACACTATCATGTCATTAATGGGACCATGGCGTTTATTTAGGTCACAATGAATATGGCGGAAAGAACACGGAAAAGTGGTCAAGTACGAATGGTCGCTGACGTGGGGCTGAATCCAGAGCAGGCGCGCAGGGTAGAGCTTTTTTGCAATTTTTTCACTATCTGTTATTATCTGGTACATATATGGAGAGATTATTGAGCTGTGCCAACACCTCTTATAATTCCAGGAAGCAGTTCGTCGTGAGGAAGAAGCTCTCAGGGCAGCACTTCGTAGAGAAACCCAGCAACGGCGAACGAGGGATCGCCATCGTCCTAATGCCGGCTTTGCAGATGGTCGGCCCAGAATACTCGGGTGAGGATGCCATTATCTTAATATTGAAACTCAATCGAAGGTCTGGGTACTGTAACAGTATGAAGCTTCACATTTGCTTTTTTGTTTTCTGACATTTAATGCTACAAATTGTTCAGACGACGAAGGCGAAGGAATCCCACGTGGTCGGGGTCGAGGTGCAGAAGCGCCGTTGATTGGGGCAAGTGATTCTGAAGAGAGCGATACTGGTCGACAGGGCACTGTTAACAAAGATACGGAAGATTCCGATGAGGTCAGTCTCCTTGTACACACTTACTTTCTTACAAATGTCAGTGGACGTGATTTTGTACACACTTACTTTCTTATGTCAATGGAGGTGATTCAGGAGTTCCGAAAGAAGAAACAGCAACAAAAGAAGAAAATCGTTACTAGTGACGAAGAAAGTGACTAGAAGAAACGAGGTTGTTGAATATTCAATTTGCTGTTTTGGCCTGGTCTCGTTGTTGTAAACACTGTGGTTTATCAGTTTTCAAGGTTGTTGTACAAATTTGCTGAGGTCTTACCCTTATTGTTGTTTTTATTATAACGCGAGTAATATATGAACAATTTTACACAAATACATGGCTATCATCGAACAATCTTCATGTGCCCTAAGGTGCTACATCTAGGAGTACGACAACAGAAGAGGCATAAGATTTGTACCCGAATGTGTTTTGCTGGCTCGATTTGAAGTATGAGCAACACAAATACTCGATGACTGAAAGGCAATGAATGAAAGAATGACTAGCTAATGACTAGGTAAAGCCGCTTAGAGGACAGTCTACTGCGGAATGTGATCTGAATCCTCACCCGAGTATTCTGGGCCGACCATCTGCAAAGCCGGCATTAGGACGATGGCGATCCCTCGTTCGCCGTTGCTGGGTTTCTCTACGAAGTGCTGCCCTGAGAGCTTCTTCCTCACGACGAACTGCTTCCTGGAAT